GAAAAAAAAAGAAAAAAAAAGAAAAAAAAGAAAAAAAAAGAAAAAAACGGGAGAAGAAAAAAACGGGAGGAGAAAAAAACGGGAGAAGAAAAAGAAGGAAGAGAACACAAATTCTGATACTTGAACTAAAGTGCTTTTTCAGCCAAAATCACATGAATACTAAAAGCAAGCAGGTGAAGGAGAAGCAAGGCCGGGCTGGACGGGGCTTGGAGCAGCCTGGTCTAGTGGAAGGTGTCTCTCCCCGTGGAATGAGATGACTGAGGTCCCTTCCAACCCAAACCCTTGTGATTGAGTGATTCCAGGAGCACAGATGTTTCCCCTGGCACGTACCAACGATGGACGTGCCCAGCTGGTCCCAGGCTGCCGTGTTGTCCCCCAGCCAGTGCCCTGCCCACCTCCCGCTGCTGGGGTACGTGGAACGGGTGATCACGATCCCGCGCTCCTGGGTGGCCTCATGCAAAGCTCTGCCATTGAAAAAGAGACAGAGAAACGAGTTACATGAGGAATATTGCATGAGCTGTGTTACATAAAGGCCCTTGAAAAGAAATATATGGAGTTATATAGTCATAGTGAGGGGCTTTGTTGTACACGTCCAATCCAGGTGAGCTTTTGAAGGTAATTCACTCTGATTCACACACAATCTCAGAAGCTTTGGCCAACCTGTAGCTTCAAAGAGAACTGGTAGAAAAGATGGGCTTATAATACAATTTTCCGTCCCAGGCCAACTCCCATGTGGGAAAACAAGAATGTAGCCCAACTTGCACGTTTTCCAAGGGCTCCACAATGTGCTGCAGGGCACATCATTCCCTACTTCAAGTACCTGAAAACTTGTAGCAACAGTTGAAAATAATTGAGCAAAAATCATAGCAGAAAGATCATAAGAGAGAAGATGGAGGTGCCAAGAATATTGGATGGCTCACCGTAAGTTTAGGTGACAAAAAAGTATTTTAACAAAAAAAAAAAAAAGAGTCAGGGATTTGTTGTCACTTCAGAAACACCAAGATGACAAGATATCAATATGAAATGTCCAACAAGGATCGGTTTAGAAGCAAACGTCAAACCAGTTGTTTTCTGCTAAACCACAATACCAGTCAGAGAGAGACCCTAACTGTCTAAACAGCTGCTTCCTAAGGCACTATTTACTTATTTTTCTATAGGATTTGCAGCTTTAGTACACTCCAATTACAGTGAAGACACACAAGTCACTTAAATTACTGGAGCAATTAAATGAACTAATGTGCCACCTTTCTTCCAGGACAAACAGTAAGTTTTCTAGGACCTTTCATTCTTTTCAACATACTTTCCAACATTTCCAGCCTCTGCTGGGTTTCCCTGTGTCAACAATGCTTTGGAAATGGCAGCTAAAAGTTCCAAAGTAAAGACAGTGTACGTCACATGTAGAACTGCTCGAGGATGGGCACGACCTGAGTGTTCTGCTGACTTGAGGCTCAGTCCTGGAGTTCCTGGAGATCTCTGCTCCAGGACTGAGCCAAAGCTCTATCCATGAAAAATAATTATTCATGTCAGAGAGTCTGAATTTACCCCCAAAAAGTTCCTGTATTCACTAATGAGGGCTCTGGCTCTGCAAAAACCTCATTACAAAAGAACAGCATTGGGGCAACATCCCGAAATTCCTGTGTCTAAGGGATAGAGAACCAAAATGACACCAGGGTGCATAAAAAAATGCTCACTTTTAAGTTACAGTGTTTTATGAGTTTTGTGTGAAAAAAATCTTTCTGTTTGGATACGTTAGCATTAAAATAAATTACTATTGCAACATTTCTTCAGTTTCAAAAGTACTCACTTCAGTTACCGCCACAGAATAAAATGGGCACTGAAATATATATATATGTATGTATCTAAGTATATATTTTGTAGATAACATTTTCAATAAATTTTCAGTGTGAGAATATCTGTATGAGCTGTGTAATTTATTGCAGTGATTTCTCTTAAGGTGCTTCTCAAAAGAGAAGGAAATATTTCACTACATTTCCATCCATACTTAAAACACAGAAATGATGGTAATATTCCTCTTACTGTCAAACTGTTGTCTACTCCTTTGGGGAGGCACAGCAGAGTTTTGGGGGCTGTAGGGGTGACTTCAGTGAGAAACTTCCCAAAGTTTCCCTGTGTCTGTCTGATGGAGCCAATGCCAGGTGGATCCAAGACGGATCTGCCGCTGGCCAAGCCCACCAGCAATGGTGATAGAGTTGAGATAACAGGTATAAGAAGGGGAAAACATTGCTCCCAACAGCAACTGGAGCAGGAGAGAGAAGTGAGAACATGTGGGATCAACAGCCCTGCAGACCCCAAGGTCAGAGAAGGTGGTGCTGGAGCTGACATTCCCCTGAGATTCTGTGGGGAAGCCCACGGTGAGGCAGCTGTGCCCCTGCAGCCCAGGGAGGTCCTTGGGGCAGCAGAGATCCACCCTCAGCCCAGGGAGGTCCTTGGGGGAGCAGACATCCAGCCTCAGCCCAGGGAGGTCCTTGGGGCAGCAGACATCCACCCTCAGCCCAGGGAGGACCCCACGCCAGAGTAGGAGGATGCCCAAAGGAGGTTGTGATCCCATGGGATGCCTGCACTGGAGCAGGGTCCTGGCAGGAACCTGTGGACCCATGGAGAGAGGAAAACACACTGGAACAGGGGAAGAGAGGGAAGAGACCTTCTGCTGAGGAGGAAAGAGCAGCAGAGACAACATGTGATGAACTGACTGCAACCCCTGTTCCTCGTCCTCCTCCACCCCTTGTGGTGAGGAGGTAGAGAAAATAGGGAATGAATTGTGCCTGGGAAGAAGTGAGGACGGGGGGGATTAAGAATTGGTTTTAAATAAACACTCTCTGATTGGATTGGTTGTAAATGAAACTAATTTCCACAACCAGTTGTTCTGCCGATGGTAGTAACTGGTGAGTGATCTCTCCCTGTCCTTATCACAGTGCACAAACCCTTCCTTGTACTTTCTCTCCTCTGTCCAGCTGAGGAGAGCAGTGATGAACAGCTTTGGTGGGCACCTGGAACCCAGCCAGGGCTCAACCCTCCACATCCTTGCAGTGCCCAAATCCCATGGGACTGGGCTGACAGCAGAGGGATCAGACATTCCCTCCTGTCCTGTCAGCAGTTTCACTCCTGCCTTGACTGGCAGCTCAGCCCTGGCCCGCTGCCAAACAGAACATCCACTCAGTCACAAATTCCAGCAGCCTTGATATTTTCTTTCTTTATGGTAATATCAAAGTTACCAAGGGCTTTAAGGTCGTTTAGACTTATAGAGAAACGCTGTTCCTTGCTTACTCCTGGAATTGTAAATGAAAGAGCACAGATACCTTATCATTAGATCAGACCTTATCTAAAGCAGGCTGGGGGACTGTTCAGAGGAACAGATATTGCCTTAGAACTGGGAAAATAAATGCTTGAAAGTAAAGATTTGTGCACACACTTTGCATTTTAAAAGTCACTGTTCCATCTTTTCACTTGTACTTGATTTGTTTTAGAAAACATAAATGAGCCCTTCTTAAATTAACAGGACTGAAAAACTGTGTTCATTTTTACTTAGTGGATGTAAAGTGTAAGGAAAAACCAGCATCAGCCCTAGGAATAAGCCAGGGAATCACAGCAAAACCTAGAGACAATAAGTACGTTATATTTCAATTATAGTAATTATGTGAGTCTATCACTGAGCAATTGCTGTTCCCCACAGCTGATCCAAACCCTGTTCTGTGCTCTGCCCCAGGAATGAACAGCCAAGTTTGTGGGTCTCCTGCTCTCATTTGTCTTGGAATGTGTTGGGGCAAGGAAACACTTGATGGAGAATAATTCCATCCAAATTAAAGCATCTCAGCAATAGCACTGTGGCCACCTTATTTCGTAATGCAGGTCAGCAGTGCAGCTTGCCCAGCAGATCATTGATATGGATCAATCCCTCAGAAAGGATATACCAAGAATTCCTCCCCAGTCAGGTGAAAAATAAGTTTCTTTAGAACCAGACTTGAGTGAACTGTCTTTAAAATGTACCTTTTAAATCGTGCCTGCTCAGGGTCAGTGATTTTAAAGTTGCTAAACTCAAAGTCTCTGTCAGGTTGTCCTGAGACAGCCGGGGATGCAGCAGCAGATCTGTGAGCTGGGGGTGTTTTTTCCCCCTTCTCCCTGGCTCCAAGTGCAGAAGGGATTTATTGCAGTGAAATGGTGGAAGCAAAGCTCCAGCTCAGACCTGCCCAGACCCACAGCAGGTCAGGTTTCCCCCATCCTTCCTGCACCACGGGGAAGATCCCTGTGAGGTGACTGGAATAACAGCAACTTCCGACCGGAAAATCAAAGGTGTTATTACACAAACCTTTCTCGGGCATCTTAAATAAACTGATAAAAGTTTTGGCCATAAGAGTGTCGACACAGAGTATTCATTTGTAACGTATTTTGGGGACAGCAGAAAACGTGCAAAGTCCACTTACTCTAAGGTAGGTTTGGCCTGTGACCACCCGTAAAGGCTGTGGACATCGAAATGTCTGACTGCAGTCCCATCTGGGAGATACTGTACACCTTCCATGCATGGAGTTTTGACGATTAATCCCTGTGACCTGAATCCCAAATCTTGTGGAAAAGGAAGAAAAAGATTTATCAGTTGTTAATAATAAGCGCGCAATAACGATTTATTTTTTTTCTTAATTTTCATCATCTATTAGGCTTTCAATCTCCATCAGGCATTCAGTTATTTATTCATTTATAATTATAAAAATAGCATTTCCAAAATGGAATATTTCCAACGTTCCTATGTAGGCATCTGCGTCTGTAAATGTTTTAATAGTGCAGTTACAGATGTTCTTACTGAGGAAAATCAGAGAGTAAACAAAATATATCAGAAAATATTCCAAATCTTTGTAAACATTGTCATAACACCCATAAAAAACAGAAAACTGGGTTTGGTGGGGGTGTGGTCTGTGTCTGACTATTAATTTCCTGAAAATTCCTGAGAAACTATTCATAAAAATGGAATACAACAGTAAGCAACAAGAGTATGCTAATAAACCATTGATAAATAATTCCTAATTAGTACTACTTTATACCAGTTCTTCAGTGAAACCAAGCTAAGAAAGCAAAGCATTTCAAGCATTTGACTGCACAGATAAATGGTAATTAGAGGAGACACATGGATATTTTCTAAATTTTTAATTAATTGCATTATTCATCTGAGAAAACTGCAAAACACAGAGCTACATTCTGTGCCGTGCCTCAAGCAAAGCAATTAGATATTAAATAGGTATCAAAATCCATATTCAGGCAAGGAGCTGAAAATGACTTTATTTTTAAGAAGTGCCACAGAGTTGCTGCTCCCACTGAAACAGCTGCCCAGAATCTCAGAAATAAAGGGCCACGTTCAGTGAGGGGCTGTGGGTTTATATTCCCATCTTTATTTAGGCTTTTGCAAGAGGTAAGAAATTATGTGGTGACAGAACAACCTAAAACTGCTTTAAGGAGGGATCAGACTTACGAGGCATGTAGGGTGGGTTGTTTAGGAGGTCGTCTCTGCAGCCATCAAGGGCACCGTTATAAAAAGTTGCCGGTTCATTCATGTCCTAAAAACAAAGAGCAAAACCCCATTGTACTGGTTTGGAGCCTACAGAACCCATTTCACCCTGAATTACAAATAGGAGCCTTGTAGAATTCCTCAGGAGACCCTGCAGCTGCACGTTTAGTCTGATTTTTTCATGTTCCATGAAGGGGGATTTACAGGGAGGCTGGAAAAGGACTTTTCACAGGGGCATGGAGTGACAGGACAAGGGGAATGGCCTTGATCTGAAGGAGGGCAGGGTTAGATGGGATATTGGGAAGGAATCCTTCCCTGGGAGGGTGGGGAGGCCCTGGCACAGGTTGCCCAGAGAAGCTGTGGCTGCCCCTGGATCCCTGGAAGTGTCCAAAGCCAGGTTGGACGGGGCTTGGAGCAAGTTGGGCTAGTGGAAGGTGTCCCCATGTTTTTATTTTACTTATCATAGAATCATTAATGGAAAAGGCCTCCAAGATCATCAAGTCCAAACTCTATTTAATGGGAATTTAACACCAGAAGCATCTGAGCTGCAGCAACAGATGCTGGGAATTGTGTCCCTCTCCACCGATGTCTGGCAGAGAAAAACAATCCAGAAATCAGATGGATTTTTACACTTACAGTCCACAGGCCATCGAACTTGATACTATTCTCAGGGTTGGTGGGATTGTTGTAGTACTCCAAGATTTCTCTCTTCCACCACGCGGCTGTGGAATTGCGGAAGAAATCTGGGAAAGCAACATGTGCTCCATAGAGCTGGAAAAATAGACAGAAAACAAGACAGACACAAGATTAAAAGCATACTACTGTTAAAATGTTGGAATTTTATAAAAAAATAAAATAAGAAGGGCAAAAATAATTACTTGTTCACTAATTTTTTTTTGGCTATTAGGAAGGCTGACCAGTTTCTGACAGTTATTCCTTCCATGAGATTAATCGACTAGTTTGCTGTTATTTTTATTAATTAACATCTAATTTGAGTCCCAAACCAAACCTTATCAACACTTACCGCTATCTGGGTTTGCTCAGGCAGGGACTCATTAACTACTACATTAGGAAGAAATGGCCAGACCTAAAAGGACAAAGAATATTTCAAAGAATCAAACCACACTGAATGAAATCTGAGCATCAGGAACAGACAGAAAGAACTGTTCTTCCCTGAACAGTACCTTGGAATATATAATTTCATCGGAATTAGGCCGTTTCATGAAGACATCATCGGTCACACCTCTTTCGAATGTAGGATAAGTGGTTTCATTTCCAGAAATGGTTGGATCCTACAATTAAAAAAACACTTTTACACTCAAACCCCAAGTTTATAAAGCTGTTGAATATATTCTGCATTCTGCAATGCTGTATTGAAATTTAAAAGCACTGTTCCAAACTGACCAGGATGATGATGAATCTCATTCCATCTGCTTTGATTCTGTTCACCAGAGCTGGTAATCCAGCAAAGCGTGTGCCAAGGGTGAAGTCCAGTTGCCTCTCCATGTAGTCAATATCTACATATTGGACATCCTGCAGTTCAAAAAAAAAAAAAAAACAAACAAAAAACAATTTAAAATGATTTATCTCTTTTTATTTTTTTTTGCCAAGTATTGAAAATCTGCCAAAATAAGTAAAACACTGAACGTTTGATCTGTAAAATTGGAAGCAGTGGTAACTTTAGACTAAAGCTGTTAAATGAATATTACACAACTTATTAGCAAGTGCAGTTCAAAATAAGCCCCTCACTGCTGCATCCAGTCTGAGGGTAGAAATTGATACATGATAGAGAAAAAATTCCTGGATTTGTATATATATGTATGTACACAGAAACTGCACATGTGCTTCCATATCTATAAGAAAACAGTGGAAATAGTTGTTCTATATTGAAACCTTGATATTAATTGCAGTTAAAATAGAGTCATATTCAATTTATAATATAATTTTGTGAGGTCTACGTGCTATTCCAACCTTCCCAGCAACCTGTGCTGAATCACAGTGGACTTGACACAGAGCACTATGGAAAGCTGCTTCCTTTTTTTCCCCTGATTGCTTTCCTTGTTGATCTCTGCTCCTTCGTGCTGCTTTGGCAGGAATGATAAAGAAAATAAAGCAGCCTGAGGCCCACATTTAACGTGGCTCAGTCTGCAGAGATGTTCAGCTGTGGTATAAAATCTGCTCTACTCTACCATGGCGGTTTTTTTTTTTGGTTGATTTTGTGTTTAAAATAGGTCCTAGTTAATGCTATGAAGCCAAAATTGCAGGAATGAGCTCAGATATGAATTGTTCTCAGCCTACATGGGGAATGTCAGCTGCCTTCATCTCCTCCACCACCTGGGAGACCTCTGAGTCATTCCTGTATCCGTAGCGGCACAACTGGAATCCCAAGGACCAGTAGGCTGGCATGACCGGCCGTCCAATCAGCTGGAGGGGAGGAAGAATATTTGTGGTGAGCAGGTGGAGAGAGAACAAAGCAACCAATCCAAACCCAGCATCAGTTTGTACGAGAACAAGGATCCTACTGCCGTGTACTGCTGGACAACCATCTCCGGCGTCGGGCCCAAAAACACGTAGAAGTCAAGAATTCCTCCGGTTGTCCGGTAGGTCAGGGCAGGGGTTGGCTGGAAAGTCACATCTGGGAATGGAGGAGAGGAAATGAGAAAAGGGAACTCGGATCTGCCACTGCTGCAAAACACTGACCATAAAAATAAAACCCATTGAGGAAGAGGGAAAGAGTCTATTTACAAGGGCCTGGAGTGACGGGACAAGGGGCAATGACCTTAAACTGAAAGAGAGCAGTTTTAGATTGGATTTTAGGAAGAAATTCTTCCCTGTGAGGGTGGGGAGGCCCTGGCACAGGTTGCCCAGAGAAGCTGTGGCTGCCCCTGGATCCCTGGAAGTGTCCAAGGCCAGGTTGGAGCAACCTGGGTTAGTGGAAAGTGTCTTTGCCCATGGCATGGGGGTTGGAATGAAATGAGCTTTAAGGTCCCTTCCAATCCAAACCATTCCATGATTCTATAAAACAAAGTGAAGGTTTTCTTACCCATTGCATTGCTGTTAAGCAAGAAAACCCCGTGGGCATTGCCATCGTTTTCAAGAGCCATGTAAAATGGATGATAACCATAGGAATTCAGCTGGTACTGCAAATAAAATAAACCACATTTTACTGGGGAAACATCACAAACATTTGCTTATTTACATCTAGTAATACATTTAATAAAAGATGAGGTACAACTGCCAAAGGTATAACAAATAAACTCCCAAATTATATACCTGAACTCTACACACCTACAAAACATATTTACTTTCCAGCTTCACAATTCCAGTCAGCCTTGTTCAGGTTGCCCAGGCAGGAAGGAAAGCAAAGGTGTTACTGCCCTTAAAACTCACTAGTGAGAAGGTCCTTCCTCAGGACAAAACTTTCCCTTTTCAAAGAGGACCAGCTGTTTACGTGCTCAGGAGAAGCTGCTGACATTCTGTTATCTTTCATTTTCTCAAAAATGTATTCAAACCTGACCTGGGAATTAGAGCTATAATTAACCACCACTTCTATTGGTCATTCTCAGCAAATTGCCAATGTGGCATCTTGTAGGAAATAAAAGCAAGAGACAAAAGATTGCTGAATTACCCCTGTGGGTACTAAATTAATCCCAAAATAGTAGGAGTTGCCCTGACTCATGTCTAACTTTCAGAATAATAAAAAAGGAGGAATGTGCTGTTATTTCTAAGCCATTTGTCATCTTCTAACACCAGCTCAAGGCCTGAGTTCCACACATTGGTCTTGCAGACCATGAGGAACAGTTTTACAGAAGACCTTTGCCACTGAGACCGTCCAAATTACAAACCCTTACAAATACGATCAAAGCCATTGGGTGTGTCCAGTACCGGACGTTAAAATCCTACTCAACAACTCTGAGCATTGGACTCATGGGTCCAAAAGTCGTGTTTTCTGGTACTTACAGTAGGAGGCTGATCCCTGGTGAACATCCCCCAGGTTTGCCAGTTGATGTCGTTTCGGAATGTGGGTTTTTCAGTCTCCCCTAATCCGTAGATGTACTCGGATGCCAAGAGGGTGGAAATCTGGATGAACATGTCGCTGAAGGTGAAGGTGGGCAGGGCTGAATTCCAGCTGAAATGGGAAAACAAGAGTGGAGTGTGGCCTCAGTGCTGTGTTGAACCTGCAGACGCTTTTTTTAGGCTACTCTCTTCCTCTGAAATTTCCACTCTTCAGTAAAAAGGGAATAAAACCGTTGCGGTTCTCAAGAAAACTTAAAGCATGTGAAATGGGGGTGTCTTAAGAATTGATAAACAGTTTAGAGACACAAAGTCTCAGAGAGAGATATATTATGCATGGACATCACGGTCATCAAGTTACATTGTATTTTGGCAATTTAGTGACAAAACGTGTTTCAGGACAGTATTTGCCTCCCAGACTGAGCACTGGTGCCACATGGAATAGAGAAAATAAGGTACTTTTTCAAGTTCACTGATTTTTTTGTGCAGATTATACTGAAGTTGCATTCACAGGTCACATTTGTTGTAAATCAGCATCTTTAGAGTTAGAAATCAAACTGTAACCTCACAGTGCTCTGCCAAAGAATTACAGTATTCCAGGAGCTTGAACTGCAGGTTGGATTATTACTCTGGTTGGCAAAAGGAGACCCAGCTTCCAATTAAGTTTTAAGAACTTTAAAATTTGAAATAACTGGGGTTTTTTAATAAAAACCATAACAGACAGCTGCTAATATAATTGCTCTCTGTTTTCTAGCTCAGAATTAATCAAAGAAAGAAGTGAAGCTCCTGTCATGTACCAAAACCCATCTATAAGTTAGTTGAGACGTTACTTCCTTCTGTGTATTTTTTTTTTCCCTAACCATTCCCCAAAACTGAACCAAATGGTCAATCCTTAACGTTCAGTGCTGTGGTCACCTAAGGAATATTTTAGCAACTGTAGAAAATCGCCGTGCCCCCCCCCCCCAAAAGCTGGGAATTACACAAGGAACACCCATTGGAGTTGTCAGTGTCCCTCACTCCAGCGCAAGAAAAGAGTTTGGCTTGAAAAGAGCTAAAAAACCACAAGCGAAATAAAGTAAAATAACATAAAGTGACAGTGACTTACATGACTGTCCCTGTGCTCTTGCGCTGGATTTTTATTCCAAAGGGTTTTAAATCAAGGGATGCTTCATAAAGTCGGTTCTGGTTTGAGTCTGTTGGGGAGCTGGGGAGATTTAGTGGGATTGGAACCTCATATCGTGGGTTTGCACGATCATAGATCTGGGAAGGAGAAATCAATTTATGCCAATAAGCAACAGGTTTGAAATCTTACCTCTAATAGTGAGAGAAATCTGGTATGATTTTTAAAACGCTTGCTGTGATTTTCTAACACTTGCTGACTATTTTCTTTCAATACATTTTCTTTACAATTATTTCACAGTGTTTTGTTTGGGGGAAAAAAAATCCCTTAAGGATTTCTTTTAGATCAGGAATGGCTTGTCTAATTATCTATATGAATGTAAAGTATGTACTTATATTGAAAATATTCATATATACTTTCTGTGTGTGGTAAATATCTGTCTAATTAATCTTTTTTACGACTTTTAGAGAGTTTTTTTAATGATTCCTGTATTCTGAAAGTTGAAATAAGTTAGTTTTTGATGTCTGATCATTTTATGGCATCACACTTAGTTCGGTATTGTTAAAAGCATGGCAATAAATTAAACAATAAGTTAAACAATAGTGCATCGAAAGATTTAGAACAGAAGTAGAATGATGGATGTAAAAACCAGGTGCAGAGTCATGATAAGGCTTATAGATAAATTACTTGTATATTAACAAAATACTTTCCGTTTCAAAGTTTCTGGTTGACATTACACATTATACCTTTGATTCATTTAATTGTAAAACTGAGCACAAAATTCCAGGACGAAAAAAAGACGCGAGCAAAGAGCAACAACAAATAATTGCTTAGAAGGAGAAACATATTTAGACAAAGGTGCTGCTGCCTGTGTAACATAAACCTGACTACAAAAAGCTGTCATAATTTCCATAACCAAGGTTATTTTTAACAACTCCTGGAAGTCCTGGGGTGGGATTACCTTGAACTGCAGCATGTTGTCGAGGTGATATGTGACCTCCAGGCGTAGGGTGCTGATGGGAGTAGTGGCAGCCTCATTAGCTCTGATCCTGGCACTGTCCAAAGTCAGGTCAGCCACAACCCCTGTGGAGGACTCTTGGATGTTCTCTAGGTAGTAAGGGTTGTCAGAGCTGTAGTAGCAGGGAGGGACGTCCGGATTTATCGTTTGCTGATGCAAACAGAAAGAAGTTACAGGTTAAGGAGCCAGATTTTTTTATCACTTACAGCAAGGAATCCCAGTTTTATCAGACGTCCATCAAATGTAGGATTTGAGGGAAAGCTTAATGCAACTGCCAACAATAAAGAAATATCACAGAATCCATTGATCTCTACGCTAAATCAGATAGAATAAAACAATCCAGGGAAGGTTGTACAAATAGTTCAGTCAGGAAACTGAAGCCTTGGTGGATTTAATTTCCCTGTCTCTCTGATTTTCAGCTCAATCCCACAACATGGTTTAATCCTGGCCTGTGAAATTCCTAAATCTTCCTCCCTTTCAATCCCAAAGCTTCCTCCCTTTCAATCCCATTGCTCTCTGGTCTCCAATTGCCTTTGAGGGCATGTGCCCCAAACCCATCGGATATTCAGGAAACATCAGAGATCTTTCCATTGGTTTTTTCTACAAATTATCCTTAAAACATCCACTGAAAACTACACCCTACTTATCTAACATCTCCTAACATTTCTAAATGTCCAAAATTACAAAAAAACCCAACAACTCTTAATAGTACAATAAAACCAGGAGAGTTCATCAGCCCCTTCAGCTATTGCTGGTTCAAGAGCACCAGCAGAGAAATTTGGTCGTCATTCCTGGGGGATAAGCCCAAGATGCACATTTTGGATTTAGAGGAGCATGGAGTAATTTAGTTGGAGGGACCCTCTGAAGCTCAGTTTAGAGCTGTGGGATATTAATAAATGAAACGTTGTGTTAAACAACTCCAAGTCGGAGATTGTGATTTGAAAAGAGTTCTTTGACGTGGATTTAAACAATTAAGGTCACATCAGAATCAAAATTTCTAGGAGATTCAAGGATTTCCCCTCGAACTGAGATCCAGAGGAACTGATTGGATTTAAAATGCCCCTCAGTGCCTGAAGGTGAGACAAAGGGGATGAGCCTTGCAGGCCACGGTGCCAGTGAAGCAGAAGAGGTAGTTGAAGGTGTTATTATTCTTTTTCATTACTCTAATACTATTTTTTTCCATCTTTCAAAAAATACCACGGTTCCTCAATTTCTGATGTACTTTGAGAGAGTTTACCCAGTTGCCAACTAGTGAGGAGAACAAAACCCAGCAGTACAGGCCAGCTAAGGTCTGTACCCCATTTTATTTAAAGTTGACAAATCTGCCAAACTACTTTTTATTCCGTAACAACCACAAAGAAAAGGCTCTGACTCTGGAAATCTTTCTGTCTCATTAGTTTAGAGAAAATAATTACTTACTTCCCAGGTACAGCCAAGTTGTTCACATTTTTCTTGTGTTGGATCAGGACTGGGATAACAATCAAACCTTTCTGCGAAAGTTGTGCCTTGCTCCCATTTTACTGTGTAAGATTTTCCCAGTTCAAGCTCAAGTCCTGTTATACTGGCAGTCTATAAATATGAAACAATAAAGAGTTATTAAATGTCACATCCCATCCATCTTTCCTTCACTCAGCAGAGGTGCTGGTGCTCAAGGATAATGCACTTTGTGACTTGACAACTCACAAAACCCCCTGTCCTGTAATATTTGATCCAGTCTCACTTTTATAAACACACACAACTGATATTCTTGCAGATAAAAATCAGAAAAGTTAGGAATCTAAAAAAATTGAGTTAATCCCACAGCTTCCTTGGAAGCAAGCAGGAATAAATACACAAATTAACATAAATAATAATAAGTAATAATAAACTGCTTGCTGCACTGAGGGTGTGAGAGCACAACTTAGATGCACTTTTATGCAGTAGAGCTGAATGCAATTTTACTTTCATTCTGCAATAAAATCCACATTATATTTTACTGAAACAGCATTAGCACTGAGGACTGTCCTTTGTAATACATGAAAAAAAACTGATGCATTTTGAAATATGTTTGCTTTCCATATTCCTGTTATTGTTTTACCCAGTATAAAGAATTGTAGGTGACATTAAGTGGAAAATCTTGCACAGCATCATTGTGATACACGGTGACTGATGTTATTTCCCGGCGCACTCCAAATATCTTGATTTCTTCAAATTTCAAGTTGTTTGGATCAGTGTAGTTGTTGAATACAACATTCATGAGCAGAGTATTCTGAAAAATAGTGGACACATTCTTATTAAAAAAAAATTCTGTCAAAAGTCCTCTTGATTTAACTATTTCTTTCTGATCAGATTTTCATATTATAGCATAAAGTAAGCCAATCTAATTTTCCTCACATAATAATTCTTGCTCTGCTTGTTATTGTTATCACAATAATGCTTTTCTCCTATCTGTATAATGTGCTTTACAGCTGTGTTTCAATTCCTTTTTTTTTTTCTTTTTTGGGCAATAAAAAAGGCGGGGGTGTGTCTGACAGGGCAGGTAAATGTTGTTCAACTGTGATCTCGCTGGGTTTTAACAAGCAAAGGTTCTTATTCGCTTTCCCTAATATAAAAATACCATTTCCTACTCAATGTTCTTAATTATTTTTAGATTAAGAGGCCGAAGTGTAGCATGGCTGTCACATGTGCCAGTGTAGAACTTCCTCCACGTGCCACTTGAGGTGAATTTTTAATTCAAAGTCATTACAGTCAAGCGATGATTTGGTTACAGGAGTTTCAAACTCCAACAGCAACTGAGGTTTCTTATCTACAAATGATTCTTTGATTACTTATGATTAAAAAAAAAATTACTGAACCCTGTTCTTCCACTCGTGTTCCTCTACATTCTCTCACTTGTCTCGTGAAATTCCACCATGGCAAAGGAATGAATTCCTTTAGCAGATATTATTATTATTATTATTGTACAAATAATATGTTATCATGTTGCGTCCAAGTTCCTTGTTATATGATAACTTCTATCAATATTGAATAGAAACACTCTCAGGACTCCACCCTGGTGTAAAATAACCCTGCCCAGGCAGTTTCAGCTTAAACAAATAACACAATAAAACTTAATCATGATGGAGTTTCCAGAGGTTCAGGCAAGGTGTGGGTTTTGCTCACTCTTTGGAGTCATTCAGCTGTACAAAAAAAAACCTACTTTTTTTTTAAATTTCCACAATTTTTAGAATCAAAACCACTACATGCACCTCCTTTTTGACTCTGTTTTAACTGCCACTGATGCTTCATAATTTTCTCTCTCAATCAACATCACTGCTGAGTTTCTTATGTGAAAGGAAAGAGGAGTTCTTTACCTACTTATATAAACTAGCAGAAAAAAAGACAACACATTTCATCCCCGTTAAATTACAGTATTTTGAACATGATTCCTCTTTGACTTTGTCAAATATTTTGTTTCCCAGAGGAAAAAAAAGGAGGGAGAAGAGAACGCTCTTGGAAGACACTTGATAGAAATCAAAACTTGAAAATAAGATCATTTAAAATAAAATACTTACATCAGAACATGTAAACTCATAGAAAAGGTAGTTTTTATTCTCAATGGTACCTAAAAGGTAAAGATAGAAATTACACTTTGCAGTGAAGAAAGGAACAGAATTAAAACCAGGACTGTGCCACTGCTAGAGACCAATAAATTGTTAATTATTATCATTCCTGTGTTCAGAAGCTGCACCAAGCAACTCAAATATTTACTAATGTTTCTTGAGGAACTGAAATTCCTCTTTTTTCTTTTTTCCCCTGGGCCAGCCTCTCAGGAGATCCACTTTTCCCAAATTTTTCAAAAATTCGTTGAAATCAGCTTTTCAAAAACGGACTGATTTTTATTTTACTGGTATTCCTTCTTATCTTAAATACAGATGTTTGGGTGAAAACTAACCCTTTAAAATACCCCATAACAACAATGACAATGATGATAGTAATAAAAACCATGGAACCATAAGAGAGGAAATAAGCCATGAGCAGGAAAAAGAAATACAAAAGTTGAGCCAATCTGGCCTTTTTTTTCCACTTTATGAAAAAAAAATACTGTCATCACAAGTAAATTGTAAATGGTTTCCCTGAAAGACTAAAACCTGTACTTTTGGGGCTGGAAATAAAATCATAAGATGTTTTAATGCTTTGTTTGCCAACAGCAGTGAGTACAGTAATAGCTGCATTATTTTAGGCCCTGCCAAAGGAGTCCATCGAGCTGTCACCCACATGTACAGCAGCCACCCAAGGCCTTCTGTATTTATGGCAGCAATAATCAACTGAATCACAGCTCTATTTCTTAAAAGCATCCCTAAATTCCACAACATTTCAAAAAGCAGAGGCTTGGAAGTTTTCCTGGCAGATAGGATTGGGTTGGTTAGCAAGAAGAAGGAGTTAGAGAGGTTGAAGGTGTAAATGTGGAGGACAAGGGAGTTGTTCAATTAGGAAAGGGGGATGCAGTTGGGAACCCCAGGAGCCGCCTGTTTCCATGGAAGCTGAGGCAAGGCTCCAGGACTTGTACAAGTAGAACACATAGACTGTGACTAAATATTGGAGGAAGGTTATTTGTATCAGAAGACAGAGGGGAGAATGCCCCATTTCAGGTATCACCCATGGATGGACAGTGGCTTGGTTAAATCACCTGGGAAAATCTCTGTCATCTCCTGAACACCTAAAGATTAGATATCTTGATACCAAATAATTCCATGAATCACTGTCTGCACAATCTCTATCTAATTTCCAGAATTACAAATGAAACATGCAGCTAATATTGCAGCATTCATTCTTTTTACCAAAATGGTAATACTACTCTGACTTCACTCTTGTCTTTCCACTGCTCCAGGATGAGCTCTGCTTTCCTTACACATGCATGGATTCCAAAAGCATCAACTTCACTGGTTTAACCTCAAATTAGAGGTTTGTGTCTTTTTTTTCTTTACTTGTGTGGAATTCAGTCATGACTTTAATCTTACAATTAATATTTTCAGTTTTCTACTTAAAAATGATGAAAAACTGTTGACATGTGAGCAAGCAGTAGCAGAGTGCTAAATCATCTTTTTTTTCCTCCATGAAACCAGTAGGAACGTTGAAACTTGTGCTTTTTAATGCTTTGTTAATTATACTTATTCCACTATTGATAACTGCTCACCTGTAGATTCCCCATCATCCCAGAACAAGTCCCCAGTAGCATTATTATAATTATCATCCAGGGCAATTATAAGTCCCATTGGGTTCTTGCGACTGTGGAAAGAGAGACTCACATGTAAAACAAATATCTAAACAATCTTAAAACATTAATAAAAATTGCTATGCAAATAAACCTACAGTTCACCACTGAACCTGTAACACAAACAGGTGTGGAACTGAGGTGTGGTTCACACTATTCCCAGATTTCAAGGTGAAAATGCTAAATACAACGAGCTGCTACTTATTTGTAACCCAGAAGTCCTCAACCCAGTCTTGGAAAAATAAAACAAACCATCAAAGCATTCAGTTTTGAAAAATACCTTGCAACTGTCGTGTTGCCTGGGTTTTGGACAGGGAAAATGTATCCTCCTCTCAAATGGACTCCGATTTTGTCTGCTGGTGTATATAAACGGAACCATTGTTTCCTCAAAAAGATTGGATAGCCCTTTTTGACAAGAGATGGAAAAGAGAACAGGTAATGTTGTTAGTCACTGCTGGGAATGCTTTCTTAAATCCTGAGTTTCATCAAAATTCTTCCCTTTAGAAAGAGCTGGACCTCTGTAAATATCCCTGGGCTAATGGGGATGCATAGACATAATGATATGCAGGTGTTTGATCTTATGTCCTGTATTTGAGTCCTTTCTTAAGGTGTTGATTCATGAGCTCACTCCACCACCCTTCCATCCCTTGTCTCACCATCTCCTTCCCACAGGCTTTACCTTCAGGTCTCTGTCATCACAGCAGGGCTGCCAACCTAATTTAGTCCCATTGTCATTTAGGAAATACCCCCACGGCATCCTCTGCATTTCCTTACCGTCTCAAACTCATACCACATTGCATCAGGTAAGTAGATAGTAGTGTAATCCACACCCTGGAAGGTGAACAAAGAAAAAACACTCATATTTCAGGGCAACTTAATCAAATAAACTCAATATTCCAATAAAGCTAAAGTTCACTGGGAGAAAATCATTGATACTTGCGCATTCCTGGTTTTCAGGGTGATGCCCAAAAAGGAGGAGAGCAACCCAAACACAGTATTTGCAAAGCCACTGGGAGACAACTAAATCACTGCTCTACGAAGTGGCAGCTCATTGCAAGCCACCCAAAGTCACAATGCTTCTAACCCAGTGATCATATCCACAAGTATCTCTATATCTTATTTCCACATTTTTCAGGTCTGACCTCTTTCAGATTTTTGCTTTCCCTTCATGTATTCAACCAATGATTAGTGTTTCTCTGTGGCAATTGTGTTGCTGGAGTGAACAATCATTATCTACAACGTTCTGCCACAGAACAAGTCATGATCTTTTGGTTTCTTGTTGTGCCACAGACAGGCTGAAATGCAGCAAGAGAAAAACTGATTCCAAAGGAAATTCAGAGATGATCTGAAGCTGAGGTAAAGTAGAATATCACACCAGATGTCTTGGACTCCCCAGGGGACTGGAATATAGGAGTGGGGTTTAAGTGCAAGATTTTCCATTTCAGCAGGGGTAAAATTATTTCTCATTGGGACCAATAAATTAAGGGGGAAAGTGGTGACTCAAACATGTCCCTGTGCCTTGTCATGTGCTTACAAGACAGATCTCAAAACAGCCAAACCTACCGGGTCAAGTGCAGGGGAAATCATCAGCCCAGGACCCCAGAGGAACTGTCTGCTGATGTCCCATGTTGCCTCCTCTTTGTAGAACCTGGACACATGGGAAGGATAGAGCAGTGACTGGGTGTTTTTGTGATCTGTACCATCAGCAGCAGTCCCAAGGTTTCAGGGTATTGACTGTCTAGGATCTTGACTAAAGAGTGTCATATAAAAACTGCCTTCTTATTACTCCAAAGCAGAATTTCACATCTTGGGAAGCTGTCTATAGACATTCCAGTGTCCATTTTCACAGGGTACACGGGTGTCAAAATCTCTAACAGCATCTGATGTGCCTAGCTCTTGTTACAAAACTGTCCCAGGGGCTGATGAGCAAACTTACTCGTGCAGAAGTGGCCGCACCACTGTGTCTCCTCGGATGTGAGCTTTGTAAAAGAGCGTGTACAGGTAGGGCAGCAGCGTGTAGCGAATGTTCAGGTAGTGCTTGGAGCTGGTCACCAGCACCGAGTCAGCTCCAAACACAGCTGGGTCTTGAGACTGAAAACAAACAGCAACTTGTTATTTGCAGCACGTAGAAAACGTTCTGTGAAATGTTTGAGAACCAGCTGCTGTTTCAGGGAGGTTGGAATTTAACGGTGCGGCTCCGCACTGGGTTCCCCTTCCTGGTGGTGTGGCCTCAGGTCCTGCCCCTCTGGGGTCCCCCTGCACATCCCTCCTTCCCCATCAGCAAGGAGGTCACTTCAGGGTCAGTCCAGGTTTTATCCTGGCAGCCAGGCTGGTGCCAAGGGGCTCCTGAGAGTCACACAGCCCTCAACAGTCAGAACTATTGATGACACTGTTGACAAATAAGTGTGTTCTCAATCAACTGAACCTCGCAGATGTGAGATTCATGAAGAAAGCTTAAGGTTCTGCTGTTTTCAAACTGGCCAGCAACAGCAATGATTAAAAGTGATGTTAAAGGAAATGTGGTTGTGTAACACAAAGCAATTTTTAAGTAAAAACACAACTTACTATGTATCCTTCAGCATTGTGATTCCTGGAAAAGGGGTAAAACGCTCCCACTTGCATCCAGCGTCTGCAAAGTTCTTCTGTGGTGTTGTCAAAGAAGCCACAAATGTCTGCTCCAATCTTTAAATGAAAGCAGAATGTGTTGAAAGTACAGGATGCTGCATCTCAGATCTCTGCACAAGGTGCATTAATCCAACTTCAATAGATAATCAGAGTGACTGAGCCATTCAACACATTTGTGTTGCCTTTTTTCTTCCAAATTCAGTTATGTTGTCCAAAAAATTAACTGACAACTAGCTACCACTGCCCATCATTGTATTTCTTCCAGATCTTTACCTTCCTGTTTAAAGCTAATATGTAGACATCAGGAAAAAATCTCCCAAGTCATGCAAATTTAAATCATAGAAAGGAATTTGGCTATTTATCTCATAAATAGATGTCACTATTTAATTTGAAATTATAAGAAAACCAGTGTTTTACATCTCTCACTAGGGTTTAAAAACTACTAGAAATAACAGGTAGCTTGAGATATATAAGATAGTAAATTTGTTACCCACATTTATCTCACCATAGACACTCAGTAATCAAAATAATGGCCTAAACCAAAAATCAATAATTGGGAAACATAAAAAAGCTAAAACCAGATTCCTAAAGAGGGTTGATTTGGAGCTGCAAATGTAGAATGGTTGTCTGGATAGTGCTTGATCAGATAATGTGTTATCACAGAGCTGGAGTTACTGCTTGTCCCTGGGTTTTGAAAGGATGGCACAAAGTGATGTCATACATAAGGCATTCCAAAGAGGTTGAACTCCAGCATTCCAGGTATCGCCCATCTTAAGTGATCCCACGTTGCTGCATTATCTCCCAGCCAGTGTCCTGTTTGCTTTCCTGATCCCACAAAAGTAGACCTTGAAATCATGAAGCTCCTCTTTCCAGGAAACACTCTCTCGATGGCTCTTAAAAGGAAATGAGACTGGAATTATGCAAAGACAACTCAGACATTCATAGTTCCATATAAAGCAGATTTACACTGATTTACACTAATTATTCATCCCAGGGATGTGGGCTCCTTTACAGTTAACAAGGTGTATTTTAGCAAAGTTCAGGATGTTAATTTTAAATAATCTTTTTGCACAGCTGTGACAACCAATTTGTGGCTTTTCCCACCAACTCGGGTCAGCAGGTTTTGCCTCATCCGAATTGGCTTAAATATAATACAATATTTCCCAGGAATTGTGTTCCTTTAGTAGTCAAATCCCTTGGTGTTTCGGAAAATGCAGGTCACGTGTTGCTCTGAAACCTTTTTGTGAAGATTTTAGGATGCATTCCTTACTTCTGTGTTGCTATGCCCATGGAATATCCATAAAGATTGTGGACATCATAATGCTTCCCCCACTTCTGCACTGCATCCATGCACAACGTCTTGGAAAACATCATCCTGTCAACAATTCCTCGAGGAAAGGAACACAAACATCATTTGTAAGGTACGTTTTTATTTTTAATATTTCCAATCTTTTCTTTCATGCACAGTCACGGTGCTCAAAAGCCCCTTTTTTCTCTTTAATTTTTCACCAAGGCAGTAGAACTACTGCAAAACAGAAGTGCTGCTCTTGGCTGTTGGTTTGATCCATCTTTGCTCTGTGATATTCCCACTCTTGAGCTTTGCCCCTTCCAAGGAATAACTGAGAATTTTGCCCTTAAGTTTCTGAATCATCATCTGACACGTTGGCAAAGGTTACTTGAGTTTACTACTTAATGCAAACTACGAACTCCATTTTAGTTCTGGATATATCCAAAAAACCACTGATAGTGTCATATTATCAGACATAATTAAGGCAGCGACAATATTCAGAAATAATTTGACAAGAGAAAAAAATGCAGTTGTAAAAACTACACCTAAATTAGACATAGATTTTCCACCAATAGGAACGTTCAAACTAAAATCATGTTGTATTCTTGAAGATAATTTCACAATAATTCATAATTTATTTTTTTATAAATATATTTTACTTCCTGATTAAAGACTTACTGGGAGTGTAAGGAGGGTAGTTTAAGTCATTCTGTTCACACCCATTTTTTGAGCCTTGAACGAAGTTGGATACTTCATTCATATCCTGAAAAGGAAAGATGCAGGATATAACAAAATTTCCATAAGAATATTTTCCTAAAAAAATCTTCCACTGTATTTCTTCCATTGTATTCTCTTATCCTTTAAGGAATTATTACTTGGTATTCTTAAACCTCGCCTTTATGAGATTTTCTAAGTCACTAAATTTCAAACTTTGCTGTCTCCTTCCATGAATATTTTGTTTAACAGTGGAATAAGTGAATTTCTCTGTGCATCCCAGAACGTGCTGCAGGAAAAGCATGGAATGAGAGCAAATCCATCCCAGAGACGCCGCAGTCGAGTGACCAATTTGCTTCACTCCAGCTATTTGCTCTTTGTAAGAGATCTGTGCAGCCTTACACTTCATGACTGGACTTGATGGAAACACAGAGTCAGCAAAAATAAGTGAGAAAAACTCATTCTAGGACATTTTGTTGAGTCCTCAATGTGCCACAGCAGGAGGAGGCAGAGAAAATCGGGAGTGAGGTTAAGGTCGGGAAGACCGGAGGGGTCAGGGGAAAGGGTTTTAAGAACTGATTTTATTTCTCATCACCTACTCTGATCTGATTGTTAAGAAATGAAATTAATTTTTTCCCCAAACTGAAGCTGTTTTGCCCGTGATGGGAATCCCAGAGTCACAGAATCCCAGAGTCATCAAGGTTGGAAAAGACCTCTGAGATCACGGAGTCCATCCCGTGACTGATCCCCACCTTGTCACTGAGTGCCACATCCAGTCATTCCTTGAACACCTCCCAGGATGGGGACTCCACCACCTCCCTGGATTACTGACTGATCCCTCCCTGTCCTTAGTTTGATCCACAAGCCTTTTGCTATATTTTTTTCTCCCCTATATTTTCTTTCCAGCTGAGAAGGACCGTGATGGAGCAGCTTTGCTGCCCACCCAGGGCCACCCCACCACACACAGGGCAGCTGAGGGACTGGAGTTTGATTTTAAACTGATGCAGCTTCTTAAAATGCACGGCTAAATATTCAGTAGATTCTTGTTTTCTTCCAGAATATTTATTTATTTTTAAATAAAAGGCAGCAGAACAAACAGAAAAACAGAATAGAGGGAAGAAGGTGCTGAGATTGAGTAGTTCAAGTACAAATTTCCTTCAGGCACCCACTTTTAGCAGCTTTATTACAGGCTATTCCTTAAAATATATCCAAAAACTAATCTGACCAGTCAAAAAGGTTCTTAATCTCATCTGATTTCCATGAACTGTACCTAAAATCCACCATGCCGGGCTGTATTTTAGCCTTTTTGTGGGAAAAACTTGTCTCTGGGAAGCCTGAATTTTCCAAAGCCTTCTCTGGAACAGCAACTGCAGATTCCCTAAGTGGGAATTCTATGAGCTACTTGGAGCACAAACCCATAGTTTATATGGATTATATTCTGTATTCAGGGTCTATTTAGCACATGTTCACTGAGCAGGGATGCAGGTCCCCAAATATTGCCATTCCAAAAACAGGAATGAACTTGCTTTCAGCAATGGTTCATCAATTGAAGCATTTAAGTGTCACTGAACATCCCAAACCCAGCATTTAAATGCCACAATTCACGACTCAAATTAAAAATTAAAATTCAAATCTAAACTCTAAGTTCAACACCAGAAGAAAGACGCATCCTGCACAGATTTCAGGTTCCTAAGAGTAAGAATCCCTTTCAAATTCAGGGCAAATTGAATTTAATATTCATCTGCTCTTGACTGTTCGGAAAAGGAAAAATAAAAATGACAATTCTGGGTTACTTACAATCCAGATTCCATCGTATGGCACCGTGTCATGAAACAATTTACATTCTTCTGCCCACCAGCTGATGCAGTCTGGGTTGGTGAAGTCTGGGAACACAGTTTCCCCTGGCCACACCTGCAAATATTAAAAGGGAATTAATTAATTCATCTTATGATATTAACTAAATATTATTATATGATATTAACTAAATTATATTAAAAAGAGTTCACAGAATCACAGAACTGCCCATGTCAGAAGGGACCTTGAAGAAGGGAGAGAGAGAATAAATTTGTTAGGTTTGGAGTTGTCAGTTATTCTTCTTGTCAGTCATGAAAGGAACAATACACAGCTGAAAAGTTTCTCAATATAAGATAAAATTTTAAATTAAAAAGGTAATACAGGAGCTGGCTCTTCAGTTATTACTGAAAATAAATAGGAGCTGGCTGATTGTCCCTTGAGCCTTCAAACTATCTTTCAATGTAAAAAAAATTTAGGGTTAACGTGAAAAAATGTAATTTTAATTGTAATGTGAATTTAAGTGTAACGTAATTTTAATTGTAGTATAATTTTATTTCTATTGAAAAAATAAAATTAAAATTTAAAAATGTAAAGAAAGTAATTCATTTTAGTGCAAAAAAAAAATTAATGTCCAAAACCACCTTTATAATGTAAAAAATGGGGGGGGGAAGAAAAAAAAGAAAAGTTGAGAATTTTCATATCCTGAGTGCTCTCATTGGTAGTAATTTTACTGAAAGAAGCAACTTGGAAATGAGAGTTTTAAAGGAGCCCCCTGCTCTAAGTTAAACTATAATAGTGACAACAGACCGAGTTCAAATGCATAAAACCACAATTACCTCCCCAACTAAGGGTGTTACTCCATCTGTGTCATTAATCCAGACTTTTTTCTCTGTTCCCCTGACGTAGCTTCCATATGCACTTCCATTTGTTAGACTTTGTGTGCTAATGGCAGGATCCTAAAAAAAACAGAAAACAGAAAAAAAAAGGAAGAAACCAGCACACACTCCGTTAATTATTGTAGGCAAGAAATGCAATAATTACAGAGAATAAAAAAAGTATAATAATAAATAGTTAAAATATTACTGTTTAAAGGGGGAAAGGAGGTAATTAAATGCTTACCAATATGATAATATATTTTTGTCCGTAGTTGTGCATATACTCTGCAAAGTTAGGGAGATCTTTAAACTTCTCTCCGTCATAAGTGAAATCTTTCTTTGCCTCCATGTAGTCAATGTCAGTGATCTGGGCATCCTGAAAGAGCAGGAATTCATCTTTTACATGTGGAGTGAGATGTAAAGATTTTTCTATCAGTCCAAAATAATTTCTTCTGACAATTCCTGGTTGGTTTATATTGAATTTAATGTTGGGACTTTATTGCAGTCTGGCAGTAAGTTTGCTGTCAGGACAACATGGAAGCAATATCTCACCTTGGACTTACAGCCCTAGTTAACTGTTCTGACACATCTTTTGTGCCTAAAAAGAGCTGCATTTAAATTAACAGAATTTAAATGAATGCATATATTTGCATCCTTTCAAATAACCCCTGGACTTGTGGCTGTGTCACTGCAGTTGCCTGACTTCAAGAGCTATTCCCTTAAATCCAAACATTCCTTCCTCAACTCTTAGCTTAATATTAGGACATTTTTATTCTACTAAGACATCAGGTTAATGCCATCTAAAATCTAATTTTACAAGTTAATTGTACTTTACATTTGACTGTCCATTAAGAATAATATAGGGTTCTAGAGAATAAGAAAATTATTTCACGGATTAGGTGACACGAGAATAAAAGTGGATACAGTCGGATATATAAAAACATTACAATAAAGTGCTCAAGTTACACTTTCTGATAATGGGTCTACCATTAAAATGCACAAAAACCCTAGAGATTTCCTAATTTAAACTGAGTTGCTGAACAGCTCTCTGGGTCCTTCCTCCTGCCCCCCTCATCCCATACTCACGTAAGGGAGTCCAATGGCCCTGTTCCTCTTCACCACCTGCACCACCTCGTCCAGGGAGCCGTAATTCCAGCGGCTCAGCTGGAAGCCCAGGCTCCAGTAGGAGGGAAACATTGGCAATCCCACGAACTGCAAGGGGAGAGAAAACATCCCACGTGCCATCAGTGCCCCTTTCCCTAAATCCACATTCCTCAAATCTGCTTGAATAATACACACTAAACGAGCCTTCACTCCCAAATGAAATATTTTTTCTGTTTGTTTTTTTTTTAATTATTATTTTTTAATCATTATTTATTTTAATAAATAAAAACATCTGGGGACAAGGACCATTCCTTAAAATGTCACTGAAACCTAAGTAGATCTTGAGAAGTACAAAAGATACCAGTGATATTTTAATATCATAAAATCATGGCATGCTTGTAAGCACACCGTCTATGCTATAAAATTGCCTTATGCACAGGAATTTGTCCTGTGATTTACAGGAGTAAGTCACATTATTGAGATATTAGAGGTTATTCTTAGTTAGATATATACTGAGTCATGCCTTCAGTTAATGGGGTCAACACACACTGTCATACAAAGAGACAACAAAACTGAAATAAATCCCAAGCACTTTAAACAATCTGTTCAATGCACAAGCTCTGTAGGTAAAGATACCTGCAGGTACTCCTGCACTACTTGCTCTGGAGTGTCCCCCAGGATGATGTAGAAATCCAGGATCCCACCAATGGTTCTGTAGGTCACTGCTGGAGCAGGCTGCACCACAAACTCTGCCAGACAAGAGGGCACAAAACTGAGCCTGAAGACCATCTCACTCTAAAATAACTTTCTGATTTTCCAGACTAGAAAACTTACTGAAGTAAAAAACACAAACCACAAATACCCAAAGAACCCAAAGCCATTAACAGAACTTTCTAATAAGAGTAAATGTATTCAGATAACTCTTTTAAATGCCCAGATTTCCATTCCTTTACATCCTACAGAGAAGAGAATCAGAAGAAATCCAATTGTTCAAGCTTTTATCTTTTAATTTTTACAAAGATTTCTTACCCATGGCATTGCTATTCATTAAGAAAACACCAAAGGAGGCTCCAGTGTTGTCTTCCAAACACAGGAAGAAAGTTTGAACTCCATATAAATTGTGCATTTCCTAAAATGACAAAAAGAACAGGTAAGATGACTAAAAATCTAACAACAACCTCTGTTCTGGGGTAGTTCAAAATGTATCACAGGTAGAACTCAAAACTCAAAATGGAGCAAACAGCAAACATTTAAATCCTGACACTTCCCTAAAGTTCTGTTTTCTCTTTCCTGGCATTATTCTCCTTTATGAGAACATTTTCCATTAAAACAAAGGTCCCCCCAATAAACAGATAATATAAGTGAGCAGATGTGATGGATCTGCAGACAGGCAGCACATATTGCAGCACTATTTCTGGGTAATAGATGTGCACATCAAGAGAGCAGGAGAACTTGAAAGGTGCTTTCATCACCTTCGACCATAGATCTGTATTTCTAATAATCCTGCAAGGAAATAATTTTATGTCTAATCTATGGAAATATGAGTGATTTGCTTCTTTTTTTCCCCCTTTCTAATGTGTTGTTTTTGTTTGTTTGTTTGTTTTTTCCCGTTGTTATTATTAGCAACAAAACCCCTTAGAGATGTTGGCAATTGTTGCAATAGTTGTGCTTGTTCTCCTGAAAAGAAAACTCAGGTCTAATTAAGAACCAGAACCTGAGTGTTTTAAACTCAGCCTAACTTGATTCTGTTCACTGTTAGTTAAATTTAATGAGTCTACATTCGGTGGAGCCTCAGCTGAGAACTGTCTTAAACCAGAGATAATAGTGAGAAGTCTCAAGGTAAAGGGTACATATTCCAAATCATTAATCAACTACATATAGTCATCTCACCCTCTAATTTCTGTTAGTACAGCTCCTATTTCAGCGATACACTTAAATTCTCTCTTAAATTAAAGCATATGGGTTGTTGCTTCATGAAATTGAGGTAATGGCAACAAATAGTCTCACAATTACTGAGAAATGGGTGCCCCAGAAATTTTTTTCATAAAGAGACAGCCAAAAAAACTAAAGAAAGAAATCACAGCTAACAGGCATATTTTATTTTGAAAGAAACAGCTGTTCAAGAGAATTCTTCTATTATTTGGTGAGCTACAAGGATGTTACTGAAGCAGTATCTGAACTGAACTCTGCACATATTGCATTATTATCCTATGCATTAGGACATACCAATTATTTATTAGTCTGTTATTTATTTTACTTGTCAGTAGGAGCTGAAGACTCTCATCTATTAATGTTTATCAACTGGTTACCCACTACAAGCCGACACAAAAATCAGAAATGGGGGAACGTTCATCAGCACCATCGAGTGTGTCAGTGACAACACACAGTGCCCGAGAAGTCTTTTGGGAAAACCTCAGTGGATACATGAATGCATAACAGGTTTGGGTTACAGAACTGCAAAGAATGAGTTGAAATACAACCAGACTTACTCCAGAGGGGCCGATGTCCCTGCTCATCATGGGCCAGGTTTTCCAGTTGACGTCGTGCCGGTACTGCTTGTGCACGTGCTCCCCCACCCCGTAAATGTTGCTGCTGGGCAGCTGGATTGAGAGCTGTAAGAACTGGTCAGCATATATCAGGGGGCCTATGGTGGTGTCAAACCTGGTGAAACAACACAAAAATAATCAATAAATAGGAAAGTGTTTCAGTGAGGATTGCTGCAAGAACTGTTCAGTTGTTTTAGTTGGGCCTGGATTGCTCAGGTCTCCACCCAGATCTTTCAGGTTTTCTTGCAATCAGTGAGAGCAGCAGATCTGTCAGAAATCTGATCCTTTTGGGGCCTCCAGTATGACAAATTATGATAGAAGTTCACAGATTTTATAAATATCTGGACAATCAGGATTTTGGTAGTGAAATGTAATGACACGTTGGTTCCCACTTTACTTTTCCAAAGAGGCCTCCCTTGTGCAAACAAATTTATCAAGGATTTATCTTTGAGGGGCTGCCCTTACCCCATGATAAAATCAGCTTCCTTTAGATACTCAGAGTCCAGCATCATTGCATCTTTTTTTTCTCTAGAGACCAAAACTTTTATGAAATTAAACAAAAGCCTAAGGAAAACTTAGACAATGTTCCAGAGCACTGCTTCAACACAGTTCCATTGGACTGACTTTGTTATTCCCCCTCCATACACCTGTTTAATCAGTCATGCACTACTGAACACCAAGTCCATCTTCTGTGCCCTCTGTAATTGCAAATCAATCACTGCAGAGGAATTCTAAGCAAGCAAACAATACTAATAAGAGCAAAAAGTAACCCCTAATTAATTAAACTTGAAGCCTGGGTAATCCAAGTGGCCTGGCCCTGTGACAGGTAATCATTGCTGGGCTGGTTTAATAACCAGGTTCATCCTGACACTTTCCCTCTCTCATGGCCACTGGGTTGGGTTATTTATTTATTTTTAGAATGCAAATGGGATGAAAGAATCCAATGTACAAGTCTATCAAATATCTTGCTTACAGCCTTATATGACCAACTCAGCAGTGGCTCACTCAGATATTCTGGATATCACAGGTCTAAAGGGCAGCCTGGCTTTGGTGATTCAGGGGTTCAGCATGATTGCAACAAAGGAGATAAAAGATGCAATCAGGAGTTTTCCCGCATGGTTTACATGTGCAAGGAGTCCTTCAGGTAATAAAAACTTGCCCAAATTGATGGAATAAAGCAGCTGTAGAGATTTCCCCCTATTGGAGGGAAGTGAAGAGAGAGCCAGAACTGAAACCTTTCGGACAGAGCTCTCCATAGCACAGACTTTGCTTCCAAAGACCTCTCAGGAGTCCTTGCAGAATATCCATGAGTCAAAAGAAGAGAAGACTATGCCCTGTGTGCCATCACCAGCTTTCAGAGAACACCAGTGGCACCCCTGTCACCCAGCAAAGCACCACAGTTACTCACAGCACTTTGCCATTGCTCAGTCTGGTCAGCACGAGGCCAAAGGGGTTCTCCTTCAGTGTCACGCTGTACTTCAGGTTGGAGGCTGCAGATCCAGTGAATGCTTTCACATGCTCGTGGGGGACTTCAAACCTTTGTGTTTTAGGATCAGTGATCTGCACATATTTAAACAGAAGTGTTGGGCCTTGATAAACTAATCCCCAGTTCAAATATTTTTCAGCATAAGCACATAGTTCTGACTCGAGGTACTTCCATCCTTATCCCAGTCTCACTGTTATTCACTTCCAAATTCAATTACTAATTTTTGACCATTTTCCTCATAATACTTGACTCTGCCTCCCTGGATCAGCAGGAGCCCACCATAAGATGAAGTCTACCACAGAAGAAGCTGCTCAAGCCCAGAACTCATTGACACCCCACGTTCATGGCATGGACTGTTGAGCTTTCCAAAGAAAACAAGAATCATTGGAAAAGCTAATGTTATCTGTCAAAATGATTGAGAGGTATGGTCAGGTCATAAATAAAAAGCAAGTAAAATACGTTTAAACCCAAATTTTTCCTGTGATGAGGACAAATGGTAGATAATATAAAAACTGAGATTTCCAAAGTCTCCAATTTTTCATGGAGAAATCCCGCTGTGGTAAAGCTGATGCACTGAGCAGAGAGGACAGAGAAAGGAGACAGGGATTTCAGTGGGAATCATGAGGGTGCCTCAGAGGGATCAATCCAGCCCTCCAACCTCACGCCTTGCAGAGAACACGAGCCTTGGAGCAGCAGAGAAAAAGGATTAACCTTGAATCGGAAGCGATTTGGTGTCTGATACTCCCCCGTGAGCAGAACGGTCTGGATGTCGTTTCCGAAGAGGGAAGGTGATGGCAGCCTGTTCAACGTAGCCTCAAATCCTTGGGAGGAAAACACACATCATTGTGTTGTTCTGGCCACCAGCACAAGCAGCAGTGGGGGAGCCCAGCCTGCAGCTCACCTGCCTTGGTTGATTTTTTTGACCCCACTTTGTACCCCTGGTTTGAGGGGAAGAAGCACCAGGGCACGTTGGTGTCGCTCAGGGGGCTCCAGCAGCAGCCACGGAGGGAGCAGATTGTCTGAGATAAGGACATGGGAGGCACATATGAGCTGGTGTCACACAAATAAATGCATACTAAACCCATTTAAAAAGCACATTTTACCCCAAACACCACTAATCTTAATAACATCTGCAATTGGAGCAGCTCCTTCTTTGAAAGTCTGTTGAGGGAACTCAGTGGCACAGAACACACTAAGGAGGATTCCTTCTGGATTCAGAGTCAACTTGCTTATCAGACATATGTCCTTTCTTAAAACCACAAGATCCACAGGCAAAATGAGCATTTAAAAATAATTATTGATACATTTTAAAATAATTATTGAAACATTTCAAAAATAATTATTGAAACATTTGAGCTGTGGCAGATGCAGTATAGCGTGACCAAGAGGAGGAAAGGAGCAGAGTTCACCAAAGACACTGGGGAGGTTGTTATAAAAGCTATCATTGAGTATAAACAAAGATGTGATCCTGGCCTCTGAGCTATAAAACCAGCACAAGAGATACCAACACCCAATAAAGCCAAAGTCAAAGCTTAATCAGGAATAATCCTGGATACGAGGAAACAGTTTAGGTTGGGGTTCAGCATGAACTGAGCACCGAGGATTAAAAGAAGAGCTTGTCTCTGCTGTTACATGGACCCAAACAGACCTTTACCAGCAGGATATTTTGGGAGAAAAAAACCAGAAACCAAAACAGCAATACACTAGCTCTGCTCACTGGAATTCAGATTTTACTGGTGTGTTCTGCATGTTTAATCAAACTTAACGAAAATTTTCCACAGCACCGAATAGTTAATAAATATTTTCTTTCTTTCACCAACCCTGCCATCAGCTAATAAATTAATTTCTCCCTTTTTGCCTTTGTTTCTCCCTTTCTGTTTTCCTCCTGTTCTCTCATTTTTACTTCTATTTGTTTCTATCCTCTGCAATCCTACTCGTTTTCTGGTTTCATCTTGAACATCTTCCGTGAATAAGGGAATCAAGGCAGGCAATAACCTCCTATATGAGCTTCAGCAAATCATGGTTTTCCCAGCTGCTGTTTATTGTAAAACCATTTGTGCAAACCACTACAGAAGAGTGATGTTATGCTAAGCAGGTACCTGTGGTTTTCCAGCTCTGCTGGTTGCTGTGTCAGAATAACCTAAAGGACAACCTGACTGCTTCCAGGGGGGAATGTCTACAGGAATGAATGGAATCACTGGGTTGGGACTCTGCTGGGAAAACCTGACAGCTCTCCTCAGGGCATGGGTTAAAGGTGAGATTTCTCTCTGAAATTATCCACGAAATTTGCTGCCTGGTCTTTCTTCACTGAGGAAAGAACAGATTCAGGAATCATTTATTTTACCTCTAATTCCAGAGCAGGTACCCCCAGTGCTCCAATGTGCACCTGGGCTTACATTTCTGCCGGGATCTGTAATTTGATTATTTTTAATTCTTTCTCACAGTTGCAACCAGAGCAACACTGTTTCCCTCCCTGTATGATGAGTGCAGCACTTAATGTGGGGTGACTGGTTCAAAGGTAGTAATTAAAGATTAAAGTGATCTGCATGACTTCCACAGTGCTGTGCATGTTCCTGGGGCAGGGAAGGAACAGCAAGAGCAGAGGAACAGGCTGTGATTTGAACCTTTCCTAACCTGTCCCCCACAGGACTTGATTGAACTATATATCATAACAAAACCCATGGCATGACAGGAGCTTTGCAACTGTCATATCTGGAATTAAACTGGGAATTCCCTCAGAGATTGAGACAGCTGGCTAATAATTTTTTATGCTGCTGTGATTGACAAAAATATCCCACATCACACCGGTTTTTTTTCTCCTAAGCTGCCCCTGCCCCCAGTAAAAAGGAGATTCCAGGCATCCACCAGCTTCCATCAGAAGATGAGAACATCCATAATAAAGATGAAAAATAATAATTATTTTAATTATAATACTCTTTCAAGACTAACTATTACGGAACGTTTCTGAATGTGAGAGCACTGAAAAACAGAAGTCATCATAGAATCATGGGATGGTTTGGGTTGGAAGGGACCTTAAAACTCATCTCATGGTCAGGGAAACCTTCCACTAGACCAAGTTGCTCCAAGTCTGAGATGATACTTTTCACTGGGAATTTTAATTCAGAAGTTTTTAAGCCAAAATATCATTTCCATACTCTGCACCCCCAGATGGGAGACACCCAACCAGGAGACGAAGATGCTGAGGTCCAAAGTGCTTCCGAAAAGAAACTGTGGCCATGGGTCTCACATTTCACAATTCTTGCACATTTGAGCAAAGCCCACCTTCACCTGCTATTTCTGAACTATTACAAAGGCTAGTTTTTGACCATCACACCAAATGAAGCTGTTCAGGCAAAGCTGGTAAAATAAAGAGTGACTTTTTTTAACTGCTTGATGTCTGGCTAATTTTGTTTCCACCCATCCCAAACTGCTGGGGAGAATATTTTAGTTAGTAAGCATGAGGTTTTATGGGAGAAAGAGTATTTTGTAGTATTTTCTAGAATATTTTCAGACCTTTGTTGCCAATTGATCTGGGATGCAGTCAATCCTCTTCTCGTTTCCTATGTTCGGGCATTGTGGGTAAAAATCTGTTTGGGAAACAAACAGAATGGGTTATTTACCAGCATCCCCAAACTGCAGGAATAACTCAAATACCTCTTAACTCACTAAACTTCTCCTGCTGGCTCCATCTTGAACTTCTAAAATAGATTAGAATGAGTATAAATTATTGCTTGTACGATTTATTTTTACTTTTGAAAAATTGCTCACGACTATTTCAGACGGGACAACTTCACTTTAAAGTTTTGGAACACAGGAGTAATATTGACAATATTGATGCTTTTATTTCTTAAGGTGTGCATTAATCCCATTTTTTCTGTGGGTCTATATGCATTGTTTCTTGTGAAAAGAGGTGCCAAATTAAAATGAGAAGGAATTTTCTCTTTCCTAAACGTCCCTGGGGTGCTCTCATGGTGCTCCTTCCCCTGAACCACTGTTTTCCACAGGAGCTTGAATTAGAGCATCAGGTAAAAACACCTTGAAGCTCCATTAAGATGCTCCACTAAGATTTCAGGTTTGTCAGACTGAATTTAAGGTGACCTCCAGGCAACTTTAGCTGACAAAAGGGTGCACTGAATGTTCCTTTACATATTTGGGAACACTGTTCATGTCTGGAATGAGGACCACAAAGTGTAGAAGTGTGGCCTGGGGCTGACATGCACACCCATCCCCAGACTTGCCTCTTTGCATTATCTGCACTGTCTGCACTTGTACTTTTTGCTCAGGGAAACTCCTACTCGTGACAGAAACAGGAAAAAGATATGCAGACATTGGCCTGAAAGGACAGTTTTATTAAAGCACAGAAGTGTTTGCTTTGTATAAGCAATTATTATTATTTTTCTGCCATTTTCACCTCCAAGCTTTTTGCTTCAGTCCCTGTACATAAATGGAATTATTCAAAATGGAACTGTGAGTAAAGCAGGTGCTCTAAATCACAGCCCTGTAACACAAGAGGGTTCTAATATACCAATACATTAGCAAGAAATACTGTTGGGTTTTAGGGTTATAACGTATCTCCCTGATCCCTTTTTTTTTTCAGAGTTACCTTGTTTCATACTCACAAATTTTGAAATTATATGAGTTCTATGCTCATAAAGAAAGTCCAGCCACAGGAGGAAGAGAGAAAACATTTCTCATGACTATAAATTCTGAGTCATGCTATTTATTACATTCATAACTGGTAATTTTACTCAAATTATCTGTAGGAAGGACTGACCATGGTCCACCTTTGGATAATGGGAAGCACAGAACAGTGACACTGAGTCAGGCAGCTCCCACTCAGGGGTTTTGCTCTGGCCCTGCAGCATCCCTGGGAAGTTCTTACCTTCATATTTGGTTCCAGACTCTCCTGATGCCAAAAGCCCAATGAGGACACAGCATATGATTGTTACTATGCAGAAGAGGACGATCAGGCTGATCTCCAGCCCGCTGAACTTCCTTTTGCCCATCTACACCCAGAGAAACACGGTTGGTGAAAGGAAAACACGAGCAACAGCTTTGAAAACCCTACAAATTGCATTACCAATTCATTAAATCTGCAAAATTTTGAAGTGATTCAGGTTTTAAACCACGCCATCTAATCCTGAGGCTTAAACAAAACACTCCTTATGGACTATGTGCAATAAATCTCCAAGTCAGGACAATTCGCACAGCACAGATTATGGGTTTATTACACAAGTGGCCATCACTGAGAAATGTATTTTGCTCCCTGAAAACCACTTTACACACAGAGAACAATTTTCTCCTGAGATTAACTATGGAGTTTCCTACCTCTTACTAAAATTCTTGAAACTGAAAACAAAGAAAACCTTCTTTCTTTTCATGCTTTTTTTTTTTAAAGTTTTCTTTCCTGCTTTAGTACAAACACAACTTATCTTACAAAGGAGGAAGTTGATTTATTAAAACTGTACTTTATAAAGCCTATAATAAACTCTGATAGTGTGTCCATGACACATGGGAAAGGCAAGACAGAGGTAACAGGGTAAATTATTTACACAGTGGAAGAACAGATCATGTGTACAAGCCCGTGGTACTGTGGCTGCTGCTGAAATCACAACTTAAAGGCAGGAGAGTGTGTTGTTGGAGTCAGTGCCTTAAACTGCTGTAAAGCTTATGGTTTTCCCAGAATTTTGAGGGGTTTTTTTGTTGGGCAGAGTGGAAGTAGTTGCTCAGCTCCAGTCAAAGAACACCCCAGTGCTGTCAACACTGAACTGTGCACCAGCAATAAAACTAATTAAAACTAATCTCCAGCATCCAGATCAATATCCATTGGCAGCTCCTACTGCATTTAACATTTGGTTAAGAACATTTAAGCTTATAAAACAACCTTAAATACAGGGAAATTGACTCTTTTTAGTTAAATCAAGGAAGTGTGGGAGTACACGTGCGTTGTGCTGGCACAGCAGAACGCTACCATGTGTTTTAGTGATGACCCAAAGCAACGAAAGATACTTTAAAAGGAACTTTTTTGGTGTGAAATCACAGTTTAAGTCATTTTAGTCTCCTGCCTGCCATCTCTTCAAAGTACAACCCATCGCCCCACAAGTATCCTCCTCTCAAAAACCTGTTTTGCTGTGTCACCCCACGTGACATCAACCAGCAGTTCTAAAAAACTAATGGTCATTTTTCTGAAAACCAGGATCTTATCCAAGTTCTTGTCATCCAGGCCTCCCCTCCCAACTGATTCACTGCATTTCAGTTCTTTCCTTCTCATGGTCTTCCCCCCAAGACCCTATACTTGGGAAATAAAGCTTTATAATTTATAAATATAAATCCTGTTGTGTGAAGTACGCATTCATTCAGCTCTCCAGAAACTTAGATGCAATCAAATGAGTGACATACCTTAAAGCTCCTCTGGTTCCTTCATGTGCTGCTCTTGACTGCAAAGGTCAAGATGAAAACTGAAGCTTTATGTTCTGTGTTATCAGTTCTCTGCCCTGTTTGCAAACCCATCAGCCAATGGCAGGTACAACATAATGACAGGCACATTGCACACACTTTGGACTGAGCAGTCACTGAGATTATTGCAGGAATGGCTGGTTAATTATAAATATTTGGGTTCAATATAAAGCATCAGATTCTGCAATGAGAAAAAAAAACCAGCCATAAAATACATAACTGCTGGCTTCTGTTGTCTCCTTTTTCCATATCTTTGTTATAGAACCTCCATGGAACCTTCACATGATTTGTCACTCATCTCGTGGTGCTTAAAGCAGATAAGTCATTAAACATTCCCAAATCAGGAAAAGAGCTACTTCAATAGTTGCAGGAGAGAATTGAATTTATGAGCATTAAAAATCAGAATTAATGTTAAAATATTAATTTTAATAATAAACTGATTTCACGGCATGCTAAAAATAAATGTCAAAAGCAGAAGGAAAAGATGAAAGATTAACATGGAAAAGAGTTTATAAGGAAGAGGCTTCAATCATAATCTTAATATGAAACCTTCACATTTAACTGGGTTTTGTGTTTTTCTCACAACAGATATTATATGACCTTAACATTAAGTCTTTGTTTTCCAAAGGAAAGCTTTCATGCTATTAAGTGTTTACAGGTTATTTTTCAATAATAAAGAAACAGCTGAGGAGTGCCACTTGTATTTTTTTGAACCGTTCACAGATTTGTTCCTCTTCCACAACTTCACCTCTGACTGGGAAGTGCAGGAATGAGACGTTTCCTCTGGGAGCACAGAGGGGATGGTCCTCTTTTCCTCAGTCAGCACTTCAAAGAAAGGAAATCAATGGCACACAAAGAGCACTGGGGCTCTCCTGCAACCATCCATCCTTGCACAGATCAATGCCACCAGACTGCTTTTGGAATGCTGCCTGTTATCGAGCCGCCCCTCCCTCTCCTGTTTATTGGAACAACACGTGTGTCCCCACGTGTCCAAGCAAACTCTGGAAATATTGCTCAAAATGGCTAAATATGCTGCTTTTTGATTGCATGTTGAGGCAGAAATAATAAAGCTTCCTGTGGATTATGAAGATGATAACGGTGAGGGAGGCCTGAGGGGATTGTTTGACGTAAATCTCTTTTCCAAGGTGTGTGTTTCATTTCAGTGTTCCAGGAAAGTGCTCCGTCCAGCCCAGCAGCTGTCCACAGGTTTCATTTAACCCTGCCATCAATAAAACAATTTGCTTAAGTGCTTTCCTGAATTCACGGGGCTGCAAACTTCTATTATCCATCACCTGGTGAACGCTCCCCGCGCCCCATAAAAGCACGAAACAAAAAAGGCCTCACAAGAGGGTTCAACCAGCAGGATTCCCAGCTGAGGGTGTTTTCATTAGTCTCCAAAGGAGATCAACAACAGGGCTTTCAGGGCAAAAGGTGGGATATTGAACTCCAAGAAGGAGGAATGGGAAAGGCTCTTTGGTCAGGGACGCTGAGAGGCCTCGAAGACAACCAAGAGCTCCATTAAATCAAGAGCTGGAGCAGCGTGGTCTCCGCTGTGTCCTGCTCTGGCTTCCAGGAATTAAGAGCTGATTCATTCCTGACAGCTGGGAAGAAGAATTACTGGAAGCCCAGGAGTATAGGCTAGACTGGAGAGAATAGTGTAGGAAAACAAAGCAGGAAATTAGGCACTGCTAAAATGCAGTAATTTGAAAAGAGACATTTATCTCTTCTCTTGTAACAGGTACATTTTTTAATTAAATCACGTACAACTTGACAAACTTGTTAGCTGGTCAGAGCCAGTTCCCTGGTTGTGTTCTTTCAGTCAGCTGTGCTAATAATTGGGATTTCAGCTAAGGGACCGTGTTAGGAAAAAGAAAGAGCTTAAAATTTTTTTACAGTTTCATGAGATTTGTTGTTTTTTAGGCATCAAATATTTAATATAACTTATAGTAAAGTTGCAGCCCTTAATTCCTGTAACAATCTGCTTGTGGATTATCAGTTCAGCCAGGAACATTATTATTATTATATTATGGAAGGACATCACTCACAGATCCAGTGGGAACCCACTCCCCACATGCCCTGTTTGCATGGCTGAAACCACTCTGAGATCCCAGTTCAGCACACTGGGAGCTCTCCAGGGCAGCTTTTTTCTGTCACAAAGTTGAGCAGTTTTCAGAGTCCTGGAGTCTCCTCCAGACACCAAACTGAGCAAGACAAAGAACCGAGAAGCCTCACAAGTGCTTTGCAAACAGTTTTTCTTCCCCCCAAAGAGACTCTGGAGAGAATGAATTTGGATTCATCTAGTGTTGTGTCATTTTCCCCAAACACCCCAAATTCAGGGTCAGGTGCTCTGAGCTTTGCCTCAGACAAAATTAGCTTTCATTTTATAGCAACTGACAGCCAAAATATTTTGATTTTGTTCACCAACCAGATTCAGAAAAAAAGTCAACTGAGTAACTTCATTGCAATGGAGAAGTAGAACATATTTGAAGCTCATTTTCAAAGTTGGTGTAGCTTTTCTAAAAAAAACGCAATTAGACATTGTACAGAAATGATCTTTTTGGAGGTAAATACTTTTCTACATGTCTAAGTGATGGACTTTTGTCTCCATTCAAATGACATGAAGTATGGCAGAGGTAATAAACATACTTTAAAATTGATTCCCAGTGTTATTTATGAATTTTTATGAGGTCAAGTTGGAGAGCAGCACTGATTATGACAGTTATTACAAAGATAAGAATTCCAACGGAATATATGGTGTACAAAAAGAGGAAATTTTGCAGTTCTTAGTGCAAATTGAGGAAAATACTTGCTGTGAATCCCTGAAATACAGCTCAAAGTCTTAGTGCAGCCAGTGCAGTACACGTTGCTCAGGTGTTTGTGATGGTTCAGTGGCTAAGACCTGAAATCAGAGGAAAAATGTTATAAAATACTTCTAAAAAAACCCAAACCCTCTCATTCTTATTTTAATAACTGCTGAACACAAGAAGCTGAAAGCGAGAAGGCCTCTGATGTGGAAAGAACAAGTGTCATGATGGTTTGAACCATAATCATGAATATAAATCACTTGATTATGGCTGAAAATTATTAACTGCTGCTCTCCAAGATAGCAAATGGGAGGTCTTAGTAGAGCCAAGTCTTACGTATTGCCAGTATTTATTATCTACCTTTTCAGCTGAGAAAAATTTCAAGTTTGCATGAAAAAAAACCACTTTTTCTTTGGCCATTCATGCATCAACATGTGGAGATATCAAAATGTGGCTGATACAGTTATTTGATCAAAATCTCTTGCCTACTTTTTGATTTTTTTAAGCTGTAACGAGAGAGCATTGGGGATATTCCAAAATGCAAAGTGCTCTGCAAACAAGTGATTTGAACCTGTCATTTGTGGCTGACAGTATTAATTTTAGGACAGAGTTCACCGCCTATGAACAAAGGGGGAAAGGAGATTAACATTTGTTTCCATCTAATTTCCAGCTCCTGATATTTCACCGTTTTCAGAGAATACCACCAGTAATTCAGGTACATCCTCACAGCTCTGCCTTTGTGCTTTGGGCAAAATGCAGAGGAGAGAAAACCATTCTTGAGTTGAAATTTGATAAAAACACCACTAAGAGCAAAGATGAAAAAAAAAAAAAAACACCCAAAAAACAAAGAAAATTTTAATTCATTAGCACATCATCCTCCTCCTCCAATACAAATTCACAGCTTGCTGACTTTTCACACCAAGCCCACTGTGGAGCCTTTTTGCAGGGAATTGCTGACAGGTTTTACTTTCAATTCTTCTCTCAACTTCCTCAGTTTTATGTGACTTTCTTTTCCCTGCTCCTTCCTACCTGAAACGTGCCAGTAGAAAGGAATTTTCACTTCTACCAGCAGATTTAGAGACAACAGAGACATTTTCTGAACGTGGACATGTCAAGATTAACCTTCAAGTTCAATTTTAGTGCTGTGAATAAAAAAAATGGGTATTGCTCCACATGAAACCTAATTGGTGAAAAGCTGAAGAACTTGTTTCAGGGAAGAAAAAAGCATATTTCAAGTTTTAAACCTCCTTAAAAAGACATCCTCCTCTTTCTGATTCCTCATAAAAGAGGAGAAACTGTCCCTTAAACCTCCCGAGGCATGTCATTAATTTTTTTCCTTCTAGAAATAGATAAATTCACATATGATGTGCTCAGCTAAAGCACATACTTTCTAACAATTCAGCTACAGGTAAATGAGATTCTTGGATTTAAGAGCCCAAATCACCCCAGTCTGTATTTAGGCTGTCAAAACGCTCACTAACATAAAATAAATATTTATACAACTACCTATTTGTGCCTGTTTGAAGACACATATGCACAGACCACCAGGAAGCCCAAAAGTCTGCCAGCTCCAGAGATTTTTGAGTCATCCATCAGGCAGATCCAAACCAGTGTTTGATGTACTTTCTAATGCTACTTAATTAAAAACACAAAAAATTGAGGACTCGAAATTTCTAACTTACAGAAGCACATTTTTTTACAACCAGGAACACCATAAATTTTAGGTATCATTTTTGAAATAAGATTATCATCTACGTTAATAATTATAATAGTAATAATTGTAAAAAGCTACCAATTATCCTAAGGTGAAATTACGGAGCTGCAATACTGACAATAATCTAAAAGCAATAAAAAACCTCCAGTTACTAAACAGCACTCAAAATAGCACCTTATCAAGTCCTAACTTCATAGTCCACAATTCCTAACCACTTTTTTTTTTTTTTATATTTTTACTGAGCAAGAGTTGAAATGACAGATTGTGTCCCAGCTTTTGGAGGGAGGAAATGATAATGCTGAAAGTGGCTGCTTAATGAAATCAGTGTTTTGACCCTTTGCATTTGTTGTCAGAGCTTGTCTGGTGCCTTTTTCCATGACTTTCCCTGTCCTTGCTGCAGATGGTCCTCCAGCCACCCCTGTGCTTCTTGCTGCTA